AAAGTCACAGAGTTCAAAGAAGAATCTTCCTCTTTTCAACCTCGAACCTCCACAAACGCCACACGTTTCTTGTTCTGGGCCCAGTACTTCCTGTGTTTGTTTGATTCTCTGATCTGCTCTCGGCAAATCTACAACGTTGTAAAGTCCTTTGAGACAACAGTGATTTAGGGATTAGGCTATTTTCGTATCGCCCTGAATTAAGATTAAGATTAAGGTAGTAGTTACTTACTACTGTTGTCTGCTGTAAATTAAGTAATGTTTATTTATATAGCACATGACCAAGGTACAGACCCACAGGTACAGACCCACAGGTACAGACCCACAGGTACAGACCCACAGGTACAGACCCACAGGTACAGACCAAGGCTCAGACCCAAAGGTACAGACCCACAGGTACAGACCCACAGGTACAGACCCACAGGTACAGACCCAAAGGTACAGACCCACAGGTACAGACCCACAGGTACAGACCCACAGGTACAGACCCACAGGTACAGACCCACAGGTACAGACCCAAAGGTACAGACCCACAGGTACAGACCCACAGGTACAGACCCACAGGTACAGACCCACAGGTACAGACCCACAGGTACAGACCAAGGCTCAGACCCACAGGTACAGACCCACAGGTACAGACCCACAGGTACAGACCCAAAGGTACAGACCCACAGGTACAGACCCACAGGTACAGACCCAAAGGTACAGACCCAAAGGTACAGACCCACAGGTACAGACCCACAGGTACAGACCCACAGGTACAGACCCAAAGGTACAGACCCACAGGTACAGACCCACAGGTACAGACCCACAGGTACAGACCCACAGGTACAGACCCAAAGGTACAGACCCAAAGGTACAGACCCACAGGTACAGACCCACAGGTACAGACCCAAAGGTACAGACCCACAGGTACAGACCCACAGGTACAGACCAAGGCTCAGACCCACAGGTACAGACCAAGGCTCAGACCCACAGGTACAGACCCACAGGTGCAGACACACAGGTACAGACCCAAAGGTACAGACCCACAGGTACAGACCCACAGGTACAGACCCACAGGTACAGACCCACAGGTACAGACCCACAGGTACAGACCCAAAGGTACAGACCCACAGGTACAGACCCACAGGTACAGACCCACAGGTACAGACCCACAGGTACAGACCCAAAGGTACAGACCCAAAGCACTTTCCAATGTTCAGAGTCAGATATTGTTCCAATCCTTCCACACACGGTGATGACAGAAGCGGGTCCAGAACACACTGGACCATCAAAGCCTCTGACCCAACACCATCCATTCACTCTCTCATTTACATTCAGACCTATTGTGCATGTTTGTAGTGGTAGGGGAAACCGGAGCACCCGGAGGAAACCTACGCAGACACGGGGAGAACATGCAAACTCCACTCAGAAAGGCCCTGTTTCGACCGGGATTTGAACCCAGGACCTTCTTGCTGAGAAGCGAGAGTGCTAACCACTCAGCCACCGTAGCTATCTTTGAGGACTTTACAAAGCTGAACAGAGACCGATGTTCTTCGATAAGCAGAAAAACACTATAATGTGATTTTTCCATTGCCACAGATGGAAGCCCCCTCAGTCGCTGTCTGCAGTCGTGGGTTATTACGTCTATTGACAAAACGGATTTGGACGTTCTTTAGTGAGTTATTGCATCACATGACACCAAACTGTTCTACTTGCAAAATATATCACATTTAAATCTTCTGTTTCTGTTGTTTTTTGGTGATGCATGTTAGCTTAATGCGCTTCATGTGTTTTAGCTGCAAAATCTTGATACATAAAAACAGTTATTCTCAGGCCTGATTAGTGCAGAACTTTGTATATTTTCAGTTTAATTACTGTTATAAATTTAACTAGCAAAGCATCTGAGAAATGAGTCAGGAAGACAGTAAACAGCATCAGTTTGTGTTAGCGGTGAACGCGTTAGCGGTGAACGCGTTAGCGGTCACAAACATCCTTCAGTTTCATTAAACACTTTGACCTAGAATCTTGTTTAAGCCACGATTTAAACTTGTGCTAAAATCAGGGCCAAAAGAATGAATTATAATTGTTATTTTTTACATAATTGTATTTTGACATCACTCTTCTCTGTTTTGTGTTTATTATTTGGATTTGACCAAAACTGAACCAAATATTTAGTTCAAGATTGTGTTGTAAAAACTCCAATGTTGTGTTGTGTTAAAATGTTAGAATGATTAGATGCAGTTGTCAGAGAAAGATGATGATGTATAACAGGCCATGGTCCATTTCCATCACGTCGTTATATATATATATAATCAATATTAACTAATGTTAGAGGCCCCTGAAGACAGTGTTGTGGCCGGATTCAGCCCGAGGGCCAGAGTTTGTCTGTTTTAAAGAATCAGCCATTTACCAGTAAACCAAAAAGACGACTATTTACTTGTATCTTGAATAAACTTTTTTTTGCTTCTTATACCAGGGGCGTCGAACTCATACCAGGGGCGTCGAACTCATACCAGGGGCGTCGAACTCATACCAGGGGCGTCGAACTCATACTCATGGAGAACCGTCTCCATCACAGAAACTAGTCAGAACGTGCTCATGTCAAGATTACATTCTTTTTGCAGTGTATTAAAAGTTTACATTTTAGAGTAGAGCAAATAATATGGTCTTTCTCTTCCGTAAAATATGGTTAAAATGAGGTCTTTTATCCTCCTCCTCCTCTCCTCGAGGTCAGACGTGTCTCCTCCTGCTCTCCTCGAGGTCAGACGTGTCTCCTCGAGGTCAGACGTGCTCTCCTCGAGGTCAGACGTGTCTCCTCCTCCTCTCCTCGAGGTCAGACCTGTCTCCTCCTGCTCTCCTCGAGGTCAGACGTGTCTCCTCCTGCTCTCCTCGAGGTCAGACCTGTCTCCTCCTGCTCTCCTCGAGGTCAGACGTGTCTCCTCCTGCTCTCCTCGAGGTCAGACCTGTCTCCTCCTGCTCTCCTCGAGGTCAGACGTGTCTCCTCCTCCTCTCCTCGAGGTCAGACGTGTCTCCTCCTCCTCTCCTCGAGGTCAGACGTGTCTCCTCCTGCTCTCCTCGAGGTCAGACGTGTCTCCTCCTGCTCTCCTCGAGGTCAGACGTGTCTCCTCCTCCTCTCCTCGAGGTCAGACCTGTCTCCTCCTGCTCTCCTCGAGGTCAGACGTGTCTCCTCCTGCTCTCCTCGAGGTCAGACGTGTCTCCTCCTGCTCTCCTCGAGGTCAGACGTGTCTCCTCCTCCTGCTCTCCTCGAGGTCAGACGTGTCTCCTCCTGCTCTCCTCCAGGTCAGACGTGTCTCCTCCTGCTCTCCTCGAGGTCAGACGTGTCTCCTCCTGCTCTCCTCGAGGTCAGACGTGTCTCCTCCTGCTCTCCTCGGGGTCAGACGTGTCTCCTCCTGCTCTCCTCGAGGTCAGACCTGTCTCCTCCTGCTCTCCTCGAGGTCAGACGTGTCTCCTCCTGCTCTCCTCGAGGTCAGACGTGTCTCCTCCTCCTGCTCTCCTCGAGGTCAGACGTGTCTCCTCCTCCTCTCCTCGAGGTCAGACGTGTCTCCTCCTGCTCTCCTCGAGGTCAGACGTGTCTCCTCCTGCTCTCCTCGAGGTCAGACGTGTCTCCTCCTGCTCTCCTCGAGGTCAGACCTGTCTCCTCCTGCTCTCCTCGAGGTCAGACCTGTCTCCTCCTGCTCTCCTCGAGGTCAGACCTGTCTCCTCCTGCTCTCCTCGAGGTCAGACGTGTCTCCTCCTCCTCTCCTCGAGGTCAGACGTGTCTCCTCCTCCTCCTCGAGGTCAGACCTGTCTCCTCCTGCTCTCCTCGAGGTCAGACGTGTCTCCTCCTGCTCTCCTCGAGGTCAGACGTGTCTCCTCCTGCTCTCCTCGAGGTCAGACGTGTCTCCTCCTGCTCTCCTCGAGGTCAGACGTGTCTCCTCCTGCTCTCCTCGAGGTCAGACGTGTCTCCTCCTGCTCTCCTCGAGGTCAGACGTGTCTCCTCCTCCTGCTCTCCTCGAGGTCAGACGTGTCTCCTCCTGCTCTCCTCGAGGTCAGACGTGTCTCCTCCTCCTGCTCTCCTCGAGGTCAGACGTGTCTCCTCCTGCTCTCCTCGAGGTCAGACGTGTCTCCTCCTCCTCCTCTCCTCGAGGTCAGACGTGTCTCCTCCTGCTCTCCTCGAGGTCAGACGTGTCTCCTCCTGCTCTCCTCGAGGTCAGACGTGTCTCCTCCTCCTGCTCTCCTCGAGGTCAGACCTGTCTCCTCCTCCTCCTCTCCTTGAGGTCAGACGTGTCTCCTCCTCCTGCTCTCCTCGAGGTCAAACGTGTCTCCTCCTGCTCTCCTCGGGGTCAGACGTGTCTCCTCCTCCTCTCCTCGAGGTCAGACCTGTCTCCTCCTGCTCTCCTCGAGGTCAGACGTGTCTCCTCCTCCTCTCCTCGAGGTCAGACGTGTCTCCTCCTGCTCTCCTCGGGGTCAGACGTGTCTCCTCCTGCTCTCCTCGAGGTCAGACCTGTCTCCTCCTGCTCTCCTCGAGGTCAGACGTGTCTCCTCCTCCTCTCCTCGAGGTCAGACGTGTCTCCTCGAGTTCAGACGTGTCTCCTCCTCCTCTCCTCGAGTTCAGACGTGTCTCCTCCTCCTCTCCTCGAGGTCAGACCTGTCTCCTCCTGCTCTCCTCGAGGTCAGACCTGTCTCCTCCTGCTCTCCTCGAGGTCAGACGTGTCTCCTCCTCCTCTCCTCGAGGTCAGACGTGTCTCCTCCTCCTCTCCTCGAGGTCAGACGTGTCTCCTCCTCCTCTCCTCGAGGTCAGACCTGTCTCCTCCTGCTCTCCTCGAGGTCAGACGTGTCTCCTCCTGCTCTCCTCGAGGTCAGACGTGTCTCCTCCTGCTCTCCTCGGGGTCAGACGTGTCTCCTCCTCCTCTCCTCGAGGTCAGACCTGTCTCCTCCTGCTCTCCTCGAGGTCAGACGTGTCTCCTCCTCCTCTCCTCGAGGTCAGACCTGTCTCCTCCTGCTCTCCTCGAGGTCAGACCTGTCTCCTCCTGCTCTCCTCGAGGTCAGACGTGTCTCCTCCTCCTGCTCTCCTCGAGGTCAGACGTGTCTCCTCCTCCTGCTCTCCTTGAGGTCAGACGTGTCTCCTCCTGCTCTCCTCGAGGTCAGACGTGTCTCCTCCTCCTGCTCTCCTCGAGGTCAGACGTGTCTCCTCCTGCTCTCCTCGAGGTCAGACGTGTCTCCTCCTGCTCTCCTCGAGGTCAGACGTGTCTCCTCCTGCTCTCCTCGAGGTCAGACGTGTCTCCTGCTCTCCTCAAGGTCAGACGTGTCTCTTCCTGCTCTCCTCGAGGTCAGACGTGTCTCCTCCTGCTCTCCTCGAGGTCAGACGTGTCTCCTCCTCCTGCTCTCCTCGAGGTCAGACGTGTCTCCTCCTGCTCTCCTCGAGGTCAGACGTGTCTCCTCCTCCTGCTCTCCTCGAGGTCAGACGTGTCTCCTCCTGCTCTCCTCGAGGTCAGACGTGTCTCCTCCTGCTCTCCTCGAGGTCAGACGTGTCTCCTCCTGCTCTCCTCGAGGTCAGACGTGTCTCCTCCTGCTCTCCTCGAGGTCAGACGTGTCTCCTCCTGCTCTCCTCGAGGTCAGACGTGTCTCCTCCTGCTCTCCTCGAGGTCAGACGTGTCTCCTCCTGCTCTCCTCGAGGTCAGACCTGTCTCCTCCTCCTCCTCTCCTTGAGGTCAGATGTGTCTCCTCCTCCTGCTCTCCTCGAGGTCAAACGTGTCCTCCTCCTGCTCTCCTCGGGGTCAGACGTGTCTCCTCCTCCTCTCCTCGAGGTCAGACCTGTCTCCTCCTGCTCTCCTCGAGGTCAGACGTGTCTCCTCCTCCTCTCCTCGAGGTCAGACGTGTCTCCTCCTGCTCTCCTCGGGGTCAGACGTGTCTCCTCCTCCTCTCCTCGAGGTCAGACCTGTCTCCTCCTGCTCTCCTCGAGGTCAGACGTGTCTCCTCCTCCTCTCCTCGAGGTCAGACGTGTCTCCTCAAGTTCAGACGTGTCTCCTCCTCCTCTCCTCGAGTTCAGACGTGTCTCCTCCTCCTCTCCTCGAGGTCAGACGTGTCTCCTCGAGGTCAGACGTGTCTCCTCCTGCTCTCCTCGAGGTCAGACGTGTCTCCTCCTGCTCTCCTCGAGGTCAGACGTGTCTCCTCCTGCTCTCCTCGAGGTCAGACCTGTCTCCTCCTGCTCTCCTCGAGGTCAGACCTGTCTCCTCCTGCTCTCCTCGAGGTCAGACGTGTCTCCTCCTCCTCTCCTCGAGGTCAGACGTGTCTCCTCCTCTCCTCGAGGTCAGACCTGTCTCCTCCTCGCAACTTCTCTCCTCGAGTCGAGTTCAGACGTGTCTCCTCCTCCTCTCCTCGAGGTCAGACGTGTCTCCTCCTCCTCTCCTCGAGGTCAGACGTGTCTCCTCGAGGTCAGACGTGTCTCCTCGAGGTCAGACGAGTCTCCTCGAGGTCAGACGTGTCTCCTCCTGCTCTCCTCGAGGTCAGACGTGTCTCCTCCTGCTCTCCTCGAGGTCAGACGTGTCTCCTCCTGCTCTCCTCGAGGTCAGACCTGTCTCCTCCTCCTGCTCTCCTCGAGGTCAGACCTGTCTCCTCCTCCTGCTCTCCTCGAGGTCAGACGTGTCTCCTCCTGCTCTCCTCGAGGTCAAACGTGTCTCCTCCTGCTCTCCTCGGGTCAGACGTGTCTCCTCCTCTCCTCGAGGTCAGACCTGTCTCCTCCTGCTCTCCTCGAGGTCAGACGTGTCTCCTCCTCCTCTCCTCGAGGTCAGACGTGTCTCCTCCTGCTCTCCTCGGGGTCAGACGTGTCTCCTCCTCCTCTCCTCGAGGTCAGACCTGTCTCCTCCTGCTCTCCTCGAGGTCAGACGTGTCTCCTCCTGCTCTCCTCGAGGTCAGACGTGTCTCCTCCTGCTCTCCTCGAGGTCAGACGTGTCTCCTCCTCGAGGTCAGACGTGTCTCCTCCTCCTGGTCTCCTCGACAGACGTGTCTCCTCCTGCTCTCCTCGAGGTCAGACGTGTCTCCTCCTGCTCTCTCGGGTCAGACGTGTCTCCTCCTGCTCTCCTCGAGGTCAGACCTGTCTCCTCCTGCTCTCAGACGTGTCTCCTCCTCTCTCCTCGAGGTCAGACGTGTCTCCTCCTCCTCCTGACTCTCCTCGAGGTCAGACGTGTCTCCTCCTCCTCTCTCGAGTGTCAGACGTGTCTCCTCCTCTCCTCGAGTCAGACGTGTCTCCTCCTCCTCTCCTCGAGGTCAGACGTGTCTCCTCCTCTCCTGAGTCAGACGTGTCTCCTCCTCGAGTTCAGACGTGTCTCCTCCTCCTCTCCTCGAGGTCAGACGTGTCTCCTCCTCCTCTCCTCGAGGTCAGACGTGTCTCCTCGAGTTCAGACGTGTCTCCTCCTCTCCTCGAGTTCAGACGTGTCTCCTCCTCCTCTCCTCGAGGTCAGACGTGTCTCCTCCTCCTCTCCTCGAGGTCAGACGTGTCTCCTCCTCCTCTCCTCGAGGTCAGACGTGTCTCCTCGAGGTCAGACGTGTCTCCTCCTGCTCTCCTCGAGGTCAGACGTGTCTCCTCCTCCTCTCCTCGAGGTCAGACGTGTCTCCTCCTGCTCTCCTCGAGGTCAGACGTGTCTCCTCCCGGATGGTACGGCGGCTGCTGGGTACGTTTTTCACAACTGGCAAAAGTGGCACCCCGTTTGTCTGCCGGGACTGTCCATCGAGGACATTGAGGATAGATACATTTTTGGATTTATGGTAGCAGGGTTCCTCCTGATTGGATTTGGAGTTGTCTTGATCTACCGCAAAGTTGGAGGACTGTCCACTCAGAAGATTTACGAGCGGCTGCGGAAAACAAGGAGAGTTTTCGCGAGTTGGTCAGAGTCGTGGTCGAGGGCACAGTGGGGACACAGCGGGGGGTGAGTCGGATCGAACATTCCCTTAATGACCTGGGAGTGAGATCTTTGGATGGACTTAAACGCTTGGAAGGATTGTTGAAGGACTTGGGCCTCACGGTGGAACCTCGTACTGACGTGGTCAACTCCGGATAACGGTGAACGGAGGGTCCAGTTCCAGTATAATTTGGACATATTGGCTTTAGTTACACTGCCTTTCATTGATCAGCTAAAGTGCTTATACACATTTCCCACAAGGGCATGTGTTGTTTTGTCTCCAATGTTTGCACCTGCACTATCTTTGTCCTTCACATTCCACCACCCACACACCGGCCACTCAAGGCCGACACTGGACTATCTAACTCAGACTCACAGCCCAGAACACCAGTTACAGTCCCCCCCCCTTCTACATGTCTGCCTCCCTCTCTTTTCAGTCTATGGTGGTCTAACTTCAGCCCCAAAGTAAAGTAAGTTTTGAAAATAATAAAAGGGTTCAAAAGTATGTAGTTAATCGTCGCCTCAGGTTCTGTTGTTACTGTTTGGACCGAGCCAGAACTAGGTCACGTCATAAAGATAAACTCTGATAATCGTTATGAGGAGACGGGGTCAGGGGTCACTGCGTTGCCAGGTTTGTAAATGTGCTCAGGCAAAAAGGTTTTAACCCCTTAAGAGAACTACACTGCAAAAAAGGGAAAAAAATACGTCAAAAGAAGAGAAACCAGTCCTGATGGTTTTGAACCTGAACCCAGTCCCAAAACCATCTGGACTGGGTTTGGGTCCAAAACCATCAGGACTGGGTTTGGGTCCAAAACCATCAGGACTGGGTTTGGGTCCAAAACCATCTGGACTGGGTTCGGGTCCAAAACCATCTGGACTGGGTTCGGGTCCAAAACCATCTGGACTGGGTTCGGGTCCAAAACCATCTGGACTGGGTTCAGGTCCGGCCCTTACACAGCCTGGTGCAGGTCTACAGCAATAGTCATGAACAGAACTCAGTGAAGGAGGAGGGTGTCCACACTTTTGCTCTGCACTGTATCTAATTTTCTCCCCTGAAAAAGGTTCTTAACAATGGGACTTCTCTGGTTGAATAATGGTTAAATAAAAAGATATAAACCGTACTATCAGAGCGGGTCAGTGGTAGAAGTGTCCAGTACAATCTCCCGGTGTCGGACTTCTGGATATTTAGCTTCTGACTTTGCCTCCTGCGGTGATAAAAGCTGTTCCCAGTTTCTCAGTAGTTTTATATCTTTAAGCGTCTGTAAACTGGAGCCACTGGGACCCGGTCTGAGGCTCTGCGGCAGACTGAGCCGAGGGCGTGGACTTCCTTTGGTTTAGTGCATTTTTCCGCTGTAAAATGTTAAAACCCGGTTCCAACTTAATGTCACCACTTCCACCACATCAGCCCCACACACACCCCACCAGGAAGAGTCAGTCCTGGGTCTACAGCCTCAGTCCTGGGTCTACAGCCTCAGTCCTGGGTCCACAGCCTCAGTCCTGGGTCCACAGCCTCAGTCCTGGGTCCACAGCCTCAGTCCTGGGTCCACAGCCTCAGTCCTGGGTCCACAGCCTCAGTCCTGGGTCCACAGCCTCAGTCCTGGGTCCACAGCCTCAGTCCTGGGTCCACAGCCTCAGTCCTGGGTCCACAGCCTCAGTCCTGGGTCCACAGCCTCAGTCCTGGGTCCACAGCCTCAGTCCTGGGTCCACAGCCTCAGTCCTGGGTCTACAGCCTCAGTCCTGGGTCTACAGCCTCAGTCCTGGGTCTACAGCCTCAGTCCTGGGTCTACAGCCTCAGTCCTGGGTCTACAGCCTCAGTCCTGGGTCCACAGCCTCAGTCCTGGGTCCACAGCCTCAGTCCTGGGTCCACAGCCTCAGTCCTGGGTCCACAGCCTCAGTCCTGCTCAGTCCTGGGTCCACAGCCTCAGTCCTGGGTCTACAGTCCTGGTCCACAGCCTCAGTCCTGGGTCTACAGCCTCAGTCCTGGGTCTACAGCCTCAGTCCTGGATCTACAGCCTCAGTCCTGGGTCCACAGCCTCAGCCTCAGCTCCCTGGGTCCACAGCCTCAGTCCTGGGTCCACAGCCTCAGTCCTGGGTCCACAGCCTCAGTCCTGGGTCCACAGCCTCAGTCCTGGGTCCACAGCCTCAGTCCTGGGTCCACAGCCTCAGTCCTGGGTCTACAGCCTCAGTCCTGGGTCCACAGCCTCAGTCCTGGGTCCACAGCCTCAGTCCTGGGTCCACAGCCTCAGTCCTGGGTCCACAGCCTCAGTCCTGGATCTACAGCCTCAGTCCTGGGTCCACAGCCTCAGTCCTGGGTCCACAGCCTCAGTCCTGGGTCCACAGCCTCAGTCCTGGGTCCACAGCCTCAGTCCTGGGTCCACAGCCTCAGTCCTGGGTCTACAGCCTCAGTCCTGGATCCACAGCCTCAGTCCTGGGTCCACAGCCTCAGTCCTGGGTCCACAGCCTCAGTCCTGGGTCCACAGCCTCAGTCCTGGGTCCACAGCCTCAGTCCTGGGTCTACAGCCTCAGTCCTGGGTCTACAGCCTCAGTCCTGGGTCCACAGCCTCAGTCCTGGGTCCACAGCCTCAGTCCTGGGTCCACAGCCTCAGTCCTGGGTCTACAGCCTCAGTCCTGGGTCCACAGCCTCAGTCCTGGGTCCACAGCCTCAGTCCTGGGTCTACAGCCTCAGTCCTGGGTCTACAGCCTCAGTCCTGGGTCCACAGCCTCAGTCCTGGGTCTACAGCCTCAGTCCTGGGTCTACAGCCTCAGTCCTCGTACCTCTCACGTTGACTCCGTAGATGACAGACTCTGGGACCTTGTGCCACACGTCCACCAGGGAGGCCGAGTGGATGAACACGTCCACCTCCCGAGACGCTTCCTGCACCTGGCTGTAGTCTGTGATGTCTCCCTGGATCACCACCACCTTCATGCTCTCTGCAACACAACACAGCTTTAAACACACTGGACTAGACTGGACTACGCTGGACTACGCTGGACTATAGTTGGACTACACTGGACAACTTTGGTTAAAGAAAGGCCAGTCCAAGCCTCGGACTATCTGCGCTCGGACTATCTGCGCTCGGACTATCTACGCTCGGACTATCTACGCTCGGACTATCTACGCTCGGACTATCTGCGCTCGGACTGTCTACGCTCGGACTATCTGCGCTCGGACTATCTGCGCTCGGACCATCTGCGCTCGGACCACATTTGGACGTGAAACTAGCAGTAATCTTTCAGTTATATATTGTGTTAGCAGTGCGTTGCTTTTGTACCATTTCATCAGTGATTGTTGTACAGCTTAAGTTGTGCTAATGCTAATGTTAGCATATAGATCAGATAGCAAATAAAACTAGATGTCTCTGTGGGAGGAGAGCGTAGGCGAATGAGAAGCCTGTGAGCGAGTTGGGGGCGGGGCTAAACATTCAAACCTTACAGAAACAGGTATAGCTCCTTTAATTCATTTAGGATAGAATAATTGTTGATCTTGTGCCGTGTGCTCCTCAGTCCTACTCTTCTCTACCTGCTGATGCAACACTGACATTTCCCCGCTGACCGGACTGTGTGACCAACGAGGCTTATTATTGTTAACAACAGGTACAAAATGTTCTGAGTTTATCTGTTTTATGGTCGAATGTCTCCCTTTGCCTCTGAACAGGAGTTTCTTTGGCAACAGTCCACAGCTCTTATCTCAGCGGTTGGCCTTGGATAACGCACTGACAGAGAAACGGACTCTGGACTCTCCAAAAGCACAAGTCAAACTCCCACTGATGCTTTAATGCAGAGGAGTCGAACTCACGGGGCCAAAGTATGAACATGTTTTTGTAGTCACTAAATACATGTGTGAAAGTGTTAGCTATAGTCTTCAGTCCTGGAACTACGGCCTCAGTCCTGGGTCTACAGCCTCAGTCCTGGGTCTACAGCCTCAGTCCTGGGTCTACAGCCTCAGTCCTGGGTCTACAGCCTCAGTCCTGGGTCTACAGCCTCAGTCCTGGGTCTACAGCCTCAGTCCTGGGTCTACAGCCTCGGTCCTGGGTCTACAGCCTCGGTCCTGGGTCTACAGCCTCGGTCCTGGGTCTACAGCCTCAGTCCCGGGTCTACAGCCGCGGTCCCGGGTCCACAGCCTCAGTCCCGGGTCTACAGCCTCGGTCCCGGGTCTACAGCCTCAGTCCCGGGTCTACAGCCTCAGTCCCGGGTCTACAGCCTCAGTCCCGGGTCTACAGCCTCAGTCCCGGGTCTACAGCCTCAGTCCCGGGTCTACAGCCTCAGTCCCGGGTCTACAGCCTCAGTCCCGGGTCTACAGCCTCAGTCCCGGGTCTACAGCCTCAGTCCCGGGTCTACAGCCTCAGTCCCGGGTCTACAGCCTCAGTCCCGGGTCTACAGCCTCAGTCCCGGGTCTACAGCCTCAGTCCCGGGTCTACAGCCTCAGTCCCGGGTCTACAGCCTCAGTCCCGGGTCTACAGCCTCAGTCCCGGGTCTACAGCCTCAGTCCCGGGTCTACAGCCTCAGTCCTGGATCTACAGTCTCAGATATTAGAGTAGGTTTATGAGTATAGAGCAGTAGAGTGGGTGCAGTCTGACCCAGGGGCCCTCAGGAGCCCAGGTCTGCACACACTGGTGAATGAGGCCAGTGTTGAGACCCAGATCCGGTCTCTGTGAGTCCTGCGTCACTGCTCTGCTTCATAAACAATGGAGAGGCAGTTTCTGACCTCACTGCCATTGTAGACAGAGGTACAGACGTCCTCACCATCAGTCACTGTGAACCAGGAGCAGGACCAGGAGCAGTACCAGAAGCAGTACCAGGACCGGTACCAGGAGCAGATCACGGCCTTTTCTCTGGTTCAGGTGTGACTGGATTAAATGTTAAAACTTTACTTGTTATTTCCTGGTGACACTGTTTGTTAGTTTTGACACCATTTTGATATTTGCTTTAAATGAGCTCACATTAGCAGGATTATTGTTCCCTATGGCAGAGACAGAGGCAGAGGCAGAGGCAGAGAGACAGAGACAGAGACAGAGGCAGAGAGACAGAGACAGAGGCAGAGACAGAGACAGAGACAGAGGCAGAGACAGAGGCAGAGGCAGAGGCAGAGAGACAGAGACAGAGACAGAGACAGAGGCAGAGACAGAGACAGAGGCAGAGAGAGAGACAGAGACAGAGACAGAGACAGAGACAGAGAGACAGAGGCAGAGAGACAGAGACAGAGACAGAGGCAGAGAGACAGAGACAGAGAGACAGAGACAGAGACAGAGGCAGAGAGACAGAGACAGAGGCAGAGAGAGACAGAGAGACAGAGACAGAGACAGAGGCAGAGAGACAGAGGCAGAGACAGAGAGACAGAGACAGAGACAGAGACAGAGGCAGAGGCAGAGGCAGAGAGACAGAGGCAGAGAGACAGAGACAGAGACAGAGACAGAGAGACAGAGACAGAGACAGAGGCAGAGAGACAGAGACAGAGAGACAGAGACAGAGACAGAGACAGAGAGACAGAGACAGAGACAGAGACAGAGGCAGAGAGACAGAGACAGAGGCAGAGACAGAGGCAGAGGCAGAGGCAGAGAGACAGAGACAGAGACAGAGACAGAGACAGAGAGACAGAGAGACAGAGAGACAGAGACAGAGAGACAGAGACAGAGAGAGAGACAGAGACAGAGAGAGGCAGAGAGACAGAGACAGAGGCAGAGAGACAGAGACAGAGACAGAGACAGAGGCAGAGAGACAGAGACAGAGAGACAGAGACAGAGACAGAGAGAGAGAGACAGAGACAGAGGCAGAGAGAGAGACAGAGACAGAGACAGAGACAGAGAGACAGAGGCAGAGGCAGAGACAGAGGCAGAGAGACAGAGGCAGAGAGACAGAGGCAGAGAGACAGAGGCAGAGAGACAGAGACAGAGACAGAGAGAGAGACAGAGACAGAGACAGAGACAGAGACAGAGACAGAGACAGAGAGAGAGACAGAGACAGAGACAGAGACAGAGGCAGAGGCAGAGACAGAGGCAGAGAGACAGAGACAGAGAGAGAGACAGAGACAGAGACAGAGACAGAGGCAGAGAGACAGAGACAGAGACAGAGAGACAGAGACAGAGACAGAGACAGAGGCAGAGACAGAGGCAGAGAGACAGAGGCAGAGAGACAGAGACAGAGAGACAGAGACAGAGAGACAGAGACAGAGACAGAGGCAGAGAGACAGAGACAGAGACAGAGAGACAGAGACAGAGACAGAGAGACAGAGACAGAGACAGAGAGACAGAGACAGAGACAGAGAGACAGAGACAGAGGCAGAGAGACAGAGACAGAGGCAGAGAGACAGAGACAGAGACAGAGACAGAGAGACAGAGACAGAGGCAGAGACAGAGGCAGAGACAGAGGAAATGAGCCTCTTCTATCACATGTTATATGAGTTCCAAAGATCCACAGCCGCAGAGCAACAGTGTTGACTTTTTGTTCCATTCAACCTCAAGCCCAGGATGTGTGAACTAAAGCTCGGGTACTTAATATTATGCAGTATTATGTAAACGATGCATTAAAAGTCAGTCCAACTGTTCGGTCCAATCACATTCATCACACACTTGGACTTGTGGCCTCTGTCACTTCTTTAAAATCAGCTTTTTCAGACAGAAAATTAAACAAGAGAGAACCCCCTCATCTCTCGGCCAATCAGCTCTCAGCCCAAAGTGTCAATTAGTGACTCACAAGGCCCTCTCAACAAGCATGATTCAACAAATAACATAGACAGACATAAATACATACAGAGAAACAGAGACAGGGGTTTAATTATAGGACTCAATGCCATTCTCTATCGTCACCAAATGATCAAATATGAGGAAAAACTGTCTCGAATCAAGGTTTTTATCTTAATCTGACACTTTCTGTAGATTCTCCAACGGGACAAAGACATTTAGGTTTAACTGTTTTTTTATTTCCTCATGAAATATTCAGAATGTGCTCAGTTTAAGACACATTTTAAGAAATTTCAGTATTTTTTGACTTATTTTTCATCCCATTCTTGCAGCGTGCCTTGATGTGAACTCTCCCCACTGTGGGACAAATAAAGAATCTCTTTAACTAATAATAATATCACATTGTCTGCAGATAATTGCATCACGTTTATTTATATAGGAGATCTTTTATTGGTCCCAGTGAGAAATGTCAGTGTTGCATCTGCAGTTACAGAACACACAGCACATGAATAATAACTCTAAATACTAAAGTATGATAAATAGTTCATGTATTTTTCTGACATAATAAAGCAATAATAAAACACTGTATAAATTAGTGCAATAACTAAATACAAAAACATAAACATTAGTTACCGGTGCTGTGCTCTTCCAGACTAGAATCGATCATTTTGTCGAAGAGTCGAATCTCCGAGACCTTCCCTCGCTCCTGCTCCAGCAGCACCCGGAGCAAATGCTTTCCCAGGAATCCACAGCCTCCGGACACCAGGTAGACCAGTCCCCGCTGGTCCCGGGACATGTCTGCGGGGGTCGGAGCTCCAAGCGCGGGGAAGCAGAGCAGAGGAGAGACCGCTGCAGCAGGACTCAGACTGAGAGAGAGAGGGAGAGACTGAGAGACTGAGAGAGAGACCGCTGCAGCAGGACTCACTCAGACTGAGAGAGAGAGGGAGAGACTGAGAGACTGAGAGAGAGACCGCTGCAGCAGGACTCACTCAGACTGAGAGAGAGAGGGAGAGACTGAGAGACTGAGAGAGAGACCGCTGCAGCAGGACTCAGACTGAGAGAGAGAGGGAGAGACTGAGAGACTGAGAGAGAGACCGCTGCAGCAGGACTCACTCAGACTGAGAGAGAGAGGGAGAGACTGAGAGACTGAGAGAGAGACCGGAGAGGTTTAAACAGAAGGGGGAGGAGCTAAAGAAGACCAATGAGAAGAGAGACTGAGGCACGCGACAGTCTTTCCAAAACATATTTATAAAGAGCCTGACAACGAGAGAAACCGGAAGAAATGCAAAGAAAAGAAAACAAAAACAACTGTTTGAGAGAGAGTGAGGGAGAGAGAGTGATCAAAATCCTAAATGTAATACATATTATACATGTATATATTATTCACTCATTCATTCATTTTCATCCCCTCTAGTGGTTCATGTCTGTGTCTCTCAGTCTCTCTCTCTATCTTCCTCTCTCTCTCTGTCTTCCTCTCTCTCTCTGTCTCTCTCTCTCTGTCTCCTCTCTCTCTCTCTGTCTTCCTCTCTCTCTCTCTCTCTCTCTGATGTGGTTTTCTTCAATGAATGAAAATCTGTTCTTTTATAAACCATGGTTGGTCTGAGTCACAGCATCTGCAGCTGGAGACAGAGGCCTGGTCTTAATCCAGATCAAACCCAGACCGAACCAGACCCGCCCAGACCAAACCAGGCCTAAACATGAAAGAATCTGTTTGATACAGTGTTGACGTTGGAGAAGAACCGCTCGGGGAAGTTTCATTCTGTATTTTCTGCCGTAGTTTAATTCAGTGTTTCTGCATCGTCCTTAAACACAACAGTCTCAGAATCCTCAGGAAAACAAGAACATTTAATATATTATTTGTATCTTGTGTAAAGTTTTATTGTTCTGTCAAATGAGTTTAAATAAAATGTGCTTTTACTAACTTTAAAAAGTAATATCTGACATAGTTCAACACTTTGATCTGTTGACAGTACAGAACAGTCTGAAATACTAATGTTGACACACACACACACACACTGACACACACACACACACACACTGACACACACACACTGACACACACTGACACACACTCCCACACAGACACACACAGACACACACATTGTATATACACACACAGACACACACACACACACTGACACACACACACAGACACACATTGTATATACACACACACACACACACACACACACACACGTACACACTCTGCTTAGTAGGATTTTAAAATCCATTGTGGATGTTCTTAATTGTGAATCAACTACAAATTAAACTTCCTTCTCTCTCTCGAACCCGGATCCTGATCCCACCCAGACTGAGACCCGGATCCGGACTCTGACCTGGAGCCTGACCCCCACCCTCACCCAGACCCCATAGACGTCCGAGTCCCTGGAGGCCACATGAGTCTAGTTCCTCATGTGTCTTACAAACACCCACTCAGCGTCTGCTAAATTTAACCCAGCGTCAGACTCACTCCAGACTCAGACCGTCTCCAGACTCAGACTCACTCCAGACTCAGACCGTCTCCAGACTCAGACTCACTCCAGACTCAGACCGTCTCCAGACTCAGACTCACTCCAGACTCAGACCGTCTCCAGACTCAGACCGTCTCCAGACTCAGACCGTCTCCAGACTCAGACTCACTCCAGACTCAGACCGTCTCCAGACTCAGACTCACTCCAGACTCAGACCGTCTCCAGACTCAGACCGTCTCCAGACTCAGACCGTCTCCAGACTCAGACCGTCTCCAGACTCAGACTCACTCCAGACTCAGACCGTCTCCAGACTCAGACCGTCTCCAGACTCAGACCGTCTCCAGACTCAGACTCACTCCAGACTCAGACCGTCTCCAGACTCAGACCGTCTCCAGACTCAGACCGTCTCCAGACTCAGACCGTCTCCAGACTCAGACCGTCTCCAGACTCAGACTCACTCCAGACTCAGACCGTCTCCAGACTCAGACTCACTCCAGACTCAGACCGTCTCCAGACTCAGACCGTCTCCAGACTCAGACCGTCTCCAGACTCAGACCGTCTCCAGACTCAGACTCACTCCAGACTCAGACCGTCTCCAGACTCAGACCGTCTCCAGACTCAGACCGTCTCCAGACTCAGACTCACTCCAGACTCAGACCGTCTCCAGACTCAGACTCACTCCAGACTCCGTCTCCAGACCGTCTCCAGACTCAGACCGTCTCCAGACTCAGACCGTCTCCAGACTCAGACCGTCTCCAGACTCAGACCGTCTCTAGGTCTCTGGGTCTCTGGGTCTTCAGGGAACTGCAGACCTCAGTCCAGCTTCATTTAAGCTAACGATAAAACCCTGGACCACAGACTGTTGGATTTGTCTCTAGATTACAGACCAGGGGTGTCCAAACTTTTTAGTGAGAGGCCACTTTAGGTCAGACTTGACCTGGGGCCGACAACCTGGATTTAAAAAACTGGATTTGAGCTGGACTGACTGGATTCTGGAATTTAAAATGGGTTTTGATACGTCCTTTGAGGCAGACATAAAGTACATGAATAAAAAATTAAAAAATGAACGAATGAAGACACGGATGTCACTGTTAATGCAGTTTGAGGCGAGATGTTGATGGTTCCATGCTGATGGTTCCATGCTGATGGTTCCATGCTGATGGTTCCATGTTGATGGTTCCATGCTGATGGTTCCATGCCGTTATACGTGTGTTTGTGTAAAGTTTGGTTTACATAAACCCAAAAACTGCTGGAGAATCTCGCCTGCATCTGGAAACCCTGCAGCGCAGTGAGGAGTCCTGTGCTGAATCAGCTGCTTTGATGTGAGTGGTTGAAGGAACACGTCATTCAAGAAAACAGACAAGTGGTTTATCCAATCACATACAAGGACTTGTTTACAAGGCCCGCCTTCTGAAATTCATTCACTTTGAAGCAGACCCAGACCCATGTGTGGAGCTCAGAGACCCACAAGGGTCTGGGTCAGGGCCCAGTAAAAGTGTCTCAATGGTGACTTTGTGTTCGCAGCAAAGGGCCACATTAAACAGCACAGAGGGCCACAGTTGGCCCGCGGGCCTGAGTTTGGACCTGCCTGTTCTAGACACTAGGATGGAAGGCATTTGTCCCAATATCAATATATTTTGACGCCTAAAATTGTGCGTTCTTCTCTGGCAGCACAGACGCAGGTGGTTCTGTCACTTCCTGTTTCCCGTCCGTCATCTGCTCTGAGGTCGCCAAGTGTTGGGGGTTCTCTCTCCTGTTCGGGTCAGATTGGGGCACTTCCTCAGGCGACCGTCACGTCTCCTCCGTCACGCCTCACTTCATATTGGTAAGTTTTATTTATATGGCGCCGCACAGAGATGGGAGTGATGTCACATGTCAGACCTGTTACCATTTACAAGGTACAGCATGACTTTGTTGGTGGAGCTGGAGTTGGCCGGATGACACTGTCAAAGTGCCTCAATGGTGACTTTGTGTGAGCAGCTTTTGTGCCTGGCTTCACCCACACCCTGTTAGGTCCAGACCAGGCAGGTCCAGACCATGTTAGGTCCAGACCAGGCAGGTCCAGACCATGTTAGGTCCAGACCAGGCAGGTCCAGACCATGTTAGATCCAGACCAGGCAGGTCAAGACCAGGCAGGTCCAGACCATGTTAGATCCAGACCAGGCAGGTCAAGACCATGTTAGATCCAGACCAGGCAGGTCAAGACCATGTTAGATCCAGACCAGGCAGGTCAAGACCATGTTAGATCCAGACCAGGCAGGTCCAGACCATGTTAGATCCAGACCAGGCAGGTCAAGACCATGTTAGATCCAGACCAGGCAGGTCAAGACCAGGCAGGTCCAGACCATGTTAGATCCAGACCAGGCAGGTCCAGACCATGTTAGGTCCAGACCAGGCAGGTCAAGACCATGTTAGATCCAGACCAGGCAGGTCCAGACCATGTTAGATCCAGACCAGGCAGGTCAAGACCATGTTAGATCCAGACCAGGCAGGTCCAGACCATGTTAGATCCAGACCAGGCAGGTCAAGACCATGTTAGATCCAGACCAGGCAGGTCAAGACCAGGCAGGTCCAGACCATGTTAGATCCAGACCAGGCAGGTCCAGACCATGTTAGATCCAGACCAGGCAGGTCCAGACCATGTTAGATCCAGACCAGGCAGGTCCAGACCATGTTAGATCCAGACCAGGCAGGTCCAGACCATGTTAGATCCAGACCAGGCAGGTCCAGACCATGTTAGATCCAGACCAGGCAGGTCCAGACCATGTTAGATCCAGACCAGGCAGGTCAAGACCATGTTAGATCCAGACCAGGCAGGTCAAGACCAGGCAGGTCCAGACCAGACAGATGAGGTGTTGTCTCCCTTCCGCCCGCTGTCATCAGGTCGTGATGAGTGGGTTTGAGTCAGATGAGTTTCTACATTTCCTCTGGAACCGTCTGCGTCAGAACCTCTTCCTGCGGTGACGACAGAAGAACGGTTCATGACATGAAACAGGTCAGTCACGGGTCAGATCTGTGGAGAGGCCAGTTTAAGTTAACTTCACTCCAAAGAACCAATAAGAGACTTAATAATAGAATGATATATAATAAGAAAAACCCAGTGTAAAGCTATGGTGCAAACTTGACTTAGGTTAAAGTTTCCACAGGAGGAGCTCGGAGTACAGCCGCTGCTCCTCCACGCCAAGAGAACCAGCCGAGATGCACTTGTGTCTGAGCCACTAAAACAGGCTTTTGGAGGCAAATACTGAGTAATCTGTATTTATTAAATGATTTTCTCAAACCCAAAGTCAAAATTGACTCCTTTGCTCCAGTCAATAAATGATCGAAGTCACAGGTGACTTTGTTTTGGTTTCAGTATTTTCTAATTTTCTCAGATGTTCATTTGTGGTTTTTACAGCTGCCAAGTTTCACCTGTTTTGGTACAAATGTATTTTATTATTATGACATCAGCGGACTCCACCAACCTCCACGCACGCGTACACACACCCAAACAATACACACGTGCACACACACACACCCAAACAACACACACACCTCCAAATAGCACACGCCCAAACGACACACACTGAAAAATGATTCACACACACTCAAGTTTCTATTTTTTCTTGTTCCAAATATGTCCTTGTTGCTATTCTTAAATATCCTCACTGACTCACACAAGGTACACACACTAACACACACACTAACACGCAATCCTCCAGGATACACAAATAAGTATCTTTATGGGGCCGGTGCAGTACCACACACAGACCACCAGGGGTTCCACACTGGTTCAGGAAAATCTGCCTCCAGGGGTCATTTTCAGGTTTTTACAATAACTGTAAAAACATTCCCCATTGTTTTTCCATTCTTGGACTAAACCCGTTGAGACGATAAACGAGAGAAGCTCAGGGAAAGACAGGAGCCAGAACCCAGGGAAAGACAGGAGCGATGACTGATACGGCCCATAAGGACACTAAAGCAAGCACACACACACACACACACACACACACACACACACACACACACACACACACACACACACACACACACCCAATTACAGGAGATAAGATACAGAGCCTCTGAAATGTATTTTGCAAACGTCAGGGAATAATATGTTCAGCTACGGACATCGGCTGACACACGAGCTCTCTATAAAACAGTTTCTAATCATCTCTATTTAAAACAACAAGAATCAGAGTTAAATAAATTATTTTATTAGTCGTATTAAAACAGTCATTCCAGAATAACACATCAACAGCAGATCACAGTCAAAAGTTGTGAAAATCTATGTTTGGAGATATTTTCTTTGATTAGTGACTTTTTAACTTTATCCCTGAACCAACTCTGACCTAATTCAACAACTTCACCGGTTAAATATTTACAAAACAAATGTTTTTTGATCTGGAATCTCCGAGATAACGATTTATCCGACCAAAATCTAATTCAAAGTGTATTTAGTTGGAGCCATTCTCACAAACACATATTTTCAGGTTTGTCGGTGCGTGGTGACATCATCGGCCTCCCCCATTGGCTGCTCCCCCTCCGCCGCCGCCTCCTGATTGGTCCTGAGCCCCTGACATCATGAGGAAGAGGACGAGGGGCACGATGTACATCCACTAAAAACACAAAACGTCAGAAAATGGTTAAAAATGTGTGTTTTCAGTGAGAGAAGGTTTAGTGGTGATCGGGGGTCGCCCGGATTAGTTTCTGAAATCAAAAGGAAGGAGAAGGTTTTTTCAGGCTCAAAAACTGTAGCTTTGGGCTGTGAACAACATAAATATTTTATCTAAACTTTTCTTACTTTTTTTAAAGCTGGGGAACCAGAGTGGACCGGTCCCGGCTCAGAAAGGTCTCTGCACATTCTCCATTTTATACACTTCAACATCTCAAACTACTTCTCAAATGACATTCATCAGGTTTCATCGGTCCAAAAGTGGTTCTTGGTCCAAAAGTGGTTCTTGGTCCAAAAGTGGTTCTTGGTCCAAAAGTGGCTCTTGGTCCAAAAGTGGCTCTTGGTCCAAAAGTGGCTCTTGGTCCAAAAGTGGCTCTTGGTCCAAAAGTGGCTCTTGGTCCAAAAGTGGCTCTTGGTCCAAAAGTGGCTCTTGGTCCAAAAGTGGCTCTTGGTCCAAAAGTGGCTCTTGGTCCAAAAGTGGCTCTTGGTCCAAAAGTGGCTCTTGGTCCAAAAGTGGCTCTTGGTCCAAAAGTGGCTCTTGGTCCAATGGTGCGTTCAGACAGCATCATTTGTTGCGTCGGGTTTCAATGCAAAGTCTACGGTGACGAGCGTTCGAGCGTCACAACGCACCAACCTCTCGGCACACACACACGGACTGCTCAGCAGAGAAGCACGGACTTGGCGGGAAAGTGAAAAGGGAGGAGCAGGAGCAAAAAATGGACGCCCACAGGAGATGGATTCTGGTCATTCTTTCCTTGGGACGTTCGTGCGACAACCAATCAGAGAGCAGCAAAGTGGTCACGGGGACATTAGTGGACTGAGCGAGCAGACTGAACATACTGTAAACAGCCAAAACAGGACCCACACCAGACTTCACCAGAACTCAAACCAGGGCTGACAATGGAGGACTCTGTGCTTGTGAAAATATGCATAGTCATGCTCCTGTGACCTTATGCACCTGCTTCAAGTGTGTTCATACTACTGTTATATAAAGTCACCTCCGTGAACACATACTACTGTTATATAAAGTCACCGTGAACACATACTGCTGTTATATAAAGTCACCTCCGTGAACACATACTGCTGTTATATAAAGTCACCGTGAACACATACTGCTGTTATATAAAGTCACCTCCGTGAACACATACTGCTGTTATATAAAGTCATCTCTGTGAACACATACTGCTGTTATATAAAGTCACCTCCGTGAACACATACTACTGTTATATAAAGTCACCGTGAACACATACTGCTGTTATATAAAGTCACCTCCGTGAACACATACTGCTGTTATATAAAGTCACCTCCGTGAACACATACTGCTGTTATATAAAGTCACCGTGAACACATACTACTGTTATATAAAGTCACCTCCGTGAACACATACTGCTGTTATATAAAGTCACCGTGAACACATACTGCTGTTATATAAAGTCACCTCCGTGAACACATACTGCTGTTATATAAAGTCACCTCCGTGAACACATACTGCTGTTATATAAAGTCACCTCCGTGAACACATACTGCTGTTATATAAAGTCACCGTGAACACATACTGCTGTTATATAAAGTCACCTCCGTGAACACATACTGCTGTTATATAAAGTCATCTCTGTGAACACATACTGCTGTTATATAAAGTCACCTCCGTGAACACATACTACTGTTATATAAAGTCACCGTGAACACATACTGCTGTTATATAAAGTCACCTCCGTGAACACATACTGCTGTTATATAAAGTCACCTCCGTGAACACATACTGCTGTTATATAAAGTCACCGTGAACACATACTGCTGTTATATAAAGTCACCTCTGTGAACACATACTGCTGTTATATAAAGTCACATCCGTGAACACATACTACTGTTATATAAAGTCACATCCGTGAACACATACTACTGTTATATAAAGTCACATCCGTGAACACATACTGCTGTTATATAAAGTCACTGTGAACACATACTGCTGTTATATAAAGTCACCTCCGTGTCAGAGAGGAGGCCTGTCTCACATCTTCAGGAAGACTGTTCCAGATTTAAGCAGCATTAATCTGAAAAGCAGCCTCCCCATGTTTAGTCCTGACTCTGGGCACTAACAGGAGTCCAGTCCCTGTGCTCCTCAGAGTCCCAGCAGGAGTCCAGTCCCTGTGCTCCTCAGAGTCCCAGCAGGAGTCCAGTCCCTGTGCTCCTCAGAGTCCCAGCAGGAGGCCAGTCCCTGTGCTCCTCAGAGTCCCAGCAGGAGTCCAGTCCCTGTGCTCCTCAGAGTCCGGGCTGGTTCATATGGGACTAACATGTCACTAATATATTTTGGTGCGAGGCCATGGAGAGACTTGTAACAAGCAGAGCTGTTTTAAAGTCTATTCTCTGAGCCACAGGAAGCCAGTGCAGAGACCTGAGGACTGGACTAATGTGGTCGTACTTCCTGGTTCTAGTCAGGACTAATGTGGTCGTACTTCCTGGTTCTAGTCAGGACTAATATGGTCGTACTTCCTGGTTCTAGTCAGGACTAATATGGTCGTACTTCCTGGTTCTAGTCAGGACTAATATGGTCGTACTTCCTGGTTCTAGTCAGGACTAATGTGGTCGTACTTCCTGGTTCTAGTCAGGACTCGAGCTGCTGCATTTTGAATGTACTGCAGCTGTTTTACAGCCTGTTTGGACAGACCTGTGAGCAGGCCATTGCAGTAGTCTAACCTACTGGAGACAAATGCATGGATAAGAATCTCCAAGTCTGCTTTAGACACTATGTTTTTGATCCTGGCAATGTTTTTTAGATGGTAAAAAGCTGCTGATGTTACTGATTTGATGTGGCTATTAAAATGCAAGTCTGAGTCCAGTATTACCCCTAGATTTCTGACCTTGTTTGAAGGTTTTAGGGAGAGAGACTGTAGGTGACAGATGACGCTCTCTTTGTTTCTGGGGACCAAAGACAATCATTTCAGTTTTGTCTGCGTTTAGCTGAAGGAAGTTGTTTTGCATCCACTCACTGATCTGTTGGATACAGTGAAGGAGTGAGTCCACTGGTCCATGTTCTCCTGCAGTCAGTGAGACATAGATCTGAGTGTCGTCTGCATAGTTATGATAGGACACTTCGTTTCTGCGTATTAACTGACCTAACGGCAGCATGTAGAGATTGAACAGAAGAGGTCCCAGGATCGACCCCTGTGGTACTCCACAGGTCAGGGCCATATGATCTGAGACACAGTCTCCAATCTCCACAAAGTACTTCCTGTCCTCAAGGTAAGACCTAAACCAACTTAGGGCGGTGCTAGTGACGCCAACCCAGTTCTCTAGTCTCTGTAAGAGGATTTCATGGTCGACAGTGTCAAAGGCAGCACTCAGATCTAACAAGATTAAGATTGAGACTTGGCCTGCGTCAGTGTTCAGCCGGATATCGTTTGTAACCTTAACGAGAGCAGTCTCAGTGCTGTGGTGGGGTCTAAAGCCGGACTGAAACATATCAAATGAGTTGTTGATTATAAGAAATCTAGTAAGCTGTAGGTAGTCAACTTTCTCAAGGACTTTCCCCATAAATGGCAGATTTGAGATGGGACGATAGTTGTTAAGTACCGTAGCATCCAGACTGCTCTTTTTTAGCAGGGGCCTGATGACTGCAGTTTTCAGGGCCTTTGGGAATATTCCAGAATGAAGGGACATGTTTACTATCTGTGTGAGTGAAGGTAACAGACTGCTCAGAACAGACTTTAGAAATCTAGTGGGTAGTACATCCAGGCTACATGTGGAGGCGCTCAGACTGGAGATTATCTCTTGGACAGTTTGATCATTTACAGGTGCAAAGTAAGTTAGCTCAGAGAGCCTTTCTGGCTGTTGGATGGTTATCTGTGGATTGGAGACAATGGCGTTTTTGATGCCTTGAACCTTGTCATTGGAAAAATTAGCAAACTCATTGCATTTACGTTTGGAAGTAAGCTCTAATGGCATTTGAACAGGGGGGTTTGTTAATCTATTAACTGTTGAGAACAGAACACGCAGATTGGTGTGAGAGGAATAGTCTTCATCGCCGATTTTATTAGCCCTGCAGAGTGTTCAGGTAGGTCTAACAGTGAAGGCGGGGATGAAAAACAAAGGGAGGTGTCCCCATTCTCTCTTGATGGAGTGGACGTGGCAGGGGGGACCCAAGACAGGTCCATGGGAGGTGGCGAGGGAGTCTTTGATGGAGGGGCAGGTGGTTGAGGAAACCCCAGCACAGGCCTGTCTGCTGTAGGCTGGGGTGAGGATGGGGGCTTCAGAGGCGCTGTAGATGAAGAAGGCGTGGCTGCTTTGGAGCAGGCTGGGGATGAGGATGTTGGTGGTCGTGCTGCTGGTGCTGCTACTGGTGATGATGCAGCTGCTGCTGGTGATGATGCAGCTGCTACTGGTGATGATGCAGCTGCTGCTGGTGATGATGCAGCTGCTACTGGTGATGATGCAGCTGCTGCTGGTGATGATGCAGCTGCTGCTGGTGATGATGCAGCTGCTGCTGGTGATGATGCAGCTGCTGCTGGTAATGATGCAGCTGCTGCTGGTGATGATGCAGCTGCTGCTGGTGATGATGCAGCTGCTGCTGGTGATGATGCAGCTGCTGCTGGTGATTATGCAGCTGCTGCTGGTGATTATGCAGCTGCTGCTGGTGACAGTGGAGGTGTTGAGATCCTTTGAGGTGGTGGAGGTGTTGAGGTCCTTCGAGGTGGTGGAGGTGCAGAGACTTTTAGAGTCGGCTTCCTCCCTTTCGATGGCTGCACGCGCTGCGCAGGCTGAGGTCTCAGGGCAAAAGAAAGGTTATCCATCAACACTTTTACTCCGTAAGTGTTCAGATGTGGCCCTTTCCCTTCAAAAAGCTCATGCCTATTCCAGAACAGATTAAAATTCTCAATGAAGGCAAGTCCTCTGCGTGAACATTCGTTGAGTAGGAAAGTATTTAGCTGATACAGACGACTGAATTTCATTTGCTTCCCGTCCACATTTGGTAGTGGGCCACTGATAACGATTGTTGTGTCCATTTTAGCAAGGTCGTCCAATAAGAGAGAGTAATCCCGTTTCAACTTTTCACTTGTGTTGTCATAGACGTCTACTGCCCCCACGTGGATCAACAATCTTTTTACCCCGCCGGTCTCAGACAGAAGCCTCGGAGCTTTATTTGTGGAATAAAAATTTAAGCAAAAATGATTAAAGACCTTATGACGGGTTTTAAAAAAAAAAATAGTGGATATCAAAATTGCATGACAATGTCAATTTGAAAGAGATTCCGGAAAAAAAAATCCTATATTTTATAAAAAGAACGTGTTTTTCATTAATTTAAGTTGTCTATGCTCTAACCTGTGTGTGACGTCACAGCGGGTTACGCCCATGCATTGAAAACCATGGATCTATGCCACAGGACTGTCTTTTCTCTCTTCTCTCCACTGATGCCCAACACAATACTGCCCTCTACAGGTGACAATTGCTCACTACACATAAATTGCCGTTTTGAGTGTGAAAAAATGTCCAAGCTGGGATTTGAACCCAAGTGTCTGGATTGGCAGTGCATCGACACAACCACTGGACTATCTCAGTGACAACGAAATGTTACATTCTAGTAGTTACCTTAGACTCGCTGTACACGGCCTTGTCATCTTGAATATCCGCGAAAAAAGAACGAATACCAAATTGTAAACAACTTATAGCGTTGAAACGTACCCGTTCTGACGTCACCAAGGGCTGTGAAGTTTTTTCGTTTCTAAGGGCGTTGCTATGGGGTTATTTCGATTTGGGGGGATCAGACAAAAAAAACAACTGATTTTGAAACCTTTAGTAGTTCTCTTCTAATATAAAATGGTATTAAAACTGTATTTCTAAATAAATCAAACCCGTCATAAGGTCTTTAAAGGAGATAAAAAAAGCAGCAAGCGAGCAAGAGAATGCGACTGCTCTGTCCAGAGCAGTCTATCGCGAGTATATGTTTTTGGACCAGTCTAGTTTAGTCGCTGTGGACTTTTAAATGCATTTTGAAAAAGCCACAGAAGGTGAAAGTGATGTCACATTAGTTCTAACAGTCTGTAATGTTTAGTCTGAGAGTGACGCAACATTCAGGGTTCGTGCAGCTTTTGAAGTGTAACATTTAAGCACTTTTCAAGCATTTTCAAGGTCAAATTGGACCTTATTCAAGAAACCGACGCTTCACATAATATCCACAATAATATATTTGCATGTGTCAAACTTTAAGTGCTTTGGGCCAAGAGCCGTTTACTCCCGAACAGAACCGACAGAACGTGATGAGATCAAGACCTGAACATTCTCCATGTTATTCACTTCAGCGTCTCAAACTTCTCAAACGTCATCGGTTCTTCTTCTCTGACTTCTCGCAGCCTAAAGTCCTGATGCTACATTAAAACTATCAATTTCACAGACAATGCTTGACTTTGTTGTTTTCAAGGTTTGGAAAGTGCTTGAAATTTGAACATTTTCCAGACTTTCAAGGATCTGAACATTATTATTGTTGACAAAAGCATCAATAATGGCAACAACGACTCAGCACCTAGTCCTCGGACCAGGCTGAGACCAGAGGAGGGGACCACAGCTTTGGAACCGTTGCCATAGTTACAAGACCTCCATCGTCTCCATCATAAACAACATGAGGCTTTTAAAAAATGTGAATAAATGTTTTGTTTTTTGCTCCTTTTACTTTTTACGCCTCTTTCTGCGGGACAAACAAAAGCCTGTGTCATTTACAGAAAGTCAGGTACCCCAGCTTTACTTTGTGTGGTCGCGGCCTCATTCCATGACGCCACATCACTGAACAAATACAATTACTCAAAACCCAAACCGCAGCAGTGACATTTTGAGCCTGAAAAAAGAGGAAGAGGAACAAAAGAAGCAGAAATTAAAGTAGAAATTGTGAATTTAAACAAGAGGCTAAAGAAACCAGTGATTATGGTTTCCACGCCAAAGCAGCAGAATTCAAAGCAAGGACACTTTCTATACAGCGACTTGGCTAAAAGAGGATTTTAACACTACTGAGTTTCAGGGCTTCATCTTTTGTCTGTTTGACTTTAACACTGTAGTTTTCATTCCCATCCAGCATTGAGACCATATGTTATATACTACTGCAGCTTCACAGAACAATATGAGTCTTTTACAGAGGTCTCCAACTCCTTTTTGTCCCTCATCACCCTCTGTATTTCAAGATGGAGCATTAACAGAGCGTCCTCCGCCTTATGGACATTTATAGGTCATTTTCTGAGCCTATGAAAACAATTCAAGAACATGAGGGAGGTTAATATTCTTAAAAAGGTCACATTTGTTATTGGTTAACATGTACAAATTACACAGAGAACCTTTAAATATTTGCAAAACTAAACGTTAATATGATCAAAGCAGCGACTTTCATTGGTCGATAGTTTTCCCCATTTCCTTTCCTGTTTTTGACAAATCGTTGCAGTTGATTAGAGATAAATGTGTTAGTAATTTGAGTGAAACTAGCTGCATTAGAATTTTAAACAGATTAAAATGCTTGTAAATTTGAAGGACAAATGTAGAAAGAGTAAAAAGCTTGTTAAAAGTATAAGAGGACAGAAGCAGAGACTGAAGAGAAGAGACTGTACTTCAGTGGGATCAGCTCTGCTCTCTGGCTCCCCCTGCTGGGGGCTGGGCCGAATTGGAAAGCATGAGGAAGATGGCGCCGCCCAGAATCAAATACCACTGGAACACAGCACAGGGCAGTTAGGGCAGCTGCGGCAGCGAACGCACCACGGCCTCAAGGCGCTCTGGAGATCGAAGGTCGGGTCCTCCTTGTTTTGGCTCCGCTCACATTCAGCAGTAAACTCCTCCAGCTCAGTAACCGCCACTCACCGTTTGGGTTTGAAAATCCATGTGTCTACGATGTGTGTGTGCGTGTGCGTGTGTGTGCGTGTGTGTGCGCGTTTTATTAGTAATTATATATATATATATATACATTTTATTATTATCTATACGTTGCTTAAAATCATTTCATTTTTTAATTTGTTATTATTATGATCATTGTAATTTCTATGTATCCTTTTCCTTTGCATAGTTGTCGCCTTGTTCAGTCTTGTCAATTATGAAATTTTGACCTAAGTTTGATCTAAAAAAAGGCAAACATTGAAAAATAAAATGTATTAAAAAAGAAATCCATAATTAATCTTTGTAAACACAGATGTGAGCGCTAACAACGGACCAATCAGCTGCTTCTGTCCCAGCGGCGCTCCTGATTGGCTGTTTGGTCGTGTTGAGAATAAACGACTTGAATGCGAAGAACATCGACTCACATATTTAGCAAAGAAGGATTTCTGCTCCTGGGGCTTCCCTTTCTTCTCCGTCTCTTGCTCCAAACGTTCGAGGAAAAGAGCGGTTTCGGGCCTAAAAAGGAAAAGAATTTGGTGAAACAGAAGAAAGAAACATCCACCAGGTTTAGTAAAGTTAAAATTTGAGAAATCGTTGAGGGCCCTAATCTGTCGTCATTAAAGGGCCCTAATCTGTCGTCATTAAAGGGCCCTAATCTGTCGTCACCTCTTAACACCCGCCTCATTTTGGCTCGTGCACAATGGTTGGGCATACCCAAATGTCTTTGCTTATTTAAAAACACATCTTACATCTCACATGCTTGTGTGATGCATCATTTTAAAGCTAGAGCCTTCTAGTTTATGTAAAAAAAACACTAAAAGAATGTTTGTCATTCCTATTTCCCTCTGCATCCTTTGAAGTTTGGGAAAAAAACCCAATTTTTTTAGCCTCGCCTAACATTTTCAATTTCTAAAGGCCCTAAAAAAGGCATACCTCATTGTAAGTTCACAATATTCAAACCCTCTGTTCATTGTGTTGTTGACAACAACTGTCTAAAGTTTCAGACTTCTAAGTTTTATAGTTTTTATGCAGTTTCTCCTTTTCATCAAGTAGTGCACATTTGGCACAATTTGGCACAAGTGTGCCAAATTGTGCCAAATATCTTTACTTACATTTAATCATCATAAAAACAATATTTTTTATTATTGGTACTTATAAGTTACTAATCTATGTGTCTTTTTCTTTTTTAAATGTCAAAGTTATTTTTTTATGAGTGTAAATTCATTGCAGCTTTGAGAGCGTCTTTTGGCTGCCATTACGCACAATTGTCCAGGCCCAACATAAGACAGGACACCATTGTCCCACCCCTTGTTCGAAAGCTTTCCTCATTGGCTACAAGGACATGTCAATCATAAATCCCGGAAGTAAAAGCAAACAAGTTGGGATCACAACAAAAATCAGTGTTCAATGCGCAAACAGCAGCGCAAGCTGTACTTATGGGACCTCTTGCAGACCCAAAAATTGGTCTAGCTTTTCGGGAGTAGTCTCATTTGAAAGATAAGGAGCTAAGGAACACGTGGATACCAGATGTTTGGGTGAAAAACAAAGCTAAAAGTCCGTTAAAAGTGAAAGAGTAACATCTGTGCTCTTTTTATTCATTTTTTTCGCTAAAGATAAATGCACATTTTTGGATTATTTCTGCAGAATGGATTTTACTTTGGGAAATACAAGTGGATATAATTTTCCTTTGGACTGTTCCAGAGAGAATGATGTATTGCAAGCTGGGAGGAGAGCTGATTTATTTGTACAGCACAAGCCCAAAGGTAAAAAACTATTTCGGAATTGATTTATTTTGTGCCCACATTATGTGTTATATCTTTTGAATGAAGTCTGATGTGGTTTACACTTGTATATAAATGTAGATAAGAAAATAAGCTTTAAAATTATATACAGCTTTTGGGGTTTGGTGTTCAAAATACATCTGCTATTGCCAGCAGAACATTTAAAAACATAAAAACGGCCACTTTTTTAACTGAGTACAGTAGTCCCTAAATCTTGTTATTGTTTTCATTTCGATGTCCCGCCCTCCACCGTTTCACCAATCAGAAAGTCTGTGATCCGGGCGCCAGAACTCACCGCGTGGAGCTAATCTCACTGGTAAAGTACCATGTGGCGCAGAACTAAAAAAGGTCTCGTTATGATTCTCAAATCATTAACGACAAAATAAGGAATAAAACCAGGATTTCTATCTTTGTGAAAAAGGTGTTGGTTATAGATTTGTTGTTGACAAAACTCTTGTCTATTCAGCTGTTATGGTCCCAGCTGGATTCGTCTGCATATCTGGCAACCTGAGTCAGGGAGAGTGGGAGGGGCTGCAGTACCACTGTTGGCCACATGTTTACACTGCTCCTTTAAATCCACACTACAGACCCAAACAACTTTGCTGCAGTCGAGTCTAAATGTTGCTCATAAAAGTACGTTTGAGTATAAGCCAAAAGTGATGAGAAAAGGGTTAGAGCGGCACGGTGGCTGAGTGGTTAGCACTCTCCCATCTCAGAAAGAAGGTCCAGGGTTTTTATGAAAGATTGAGAAACACATTTCAACACGACTGAAAGGATCGTCTCATCATGTTCCGAAACCTACACACCACTGAAGAATGTGAGCTGAGATTTCAGTGCAGTGACTTTGGGCTGAAATTACCTTTTTTTACTCAGAAAGAAACTGCAGAAAACGCATAGATTTGTGATAATTAAAAACTGTAAAAGTTTTGACCTGAGGCTTAAATAACGACTAAAATATTTACTTCAAATGGATCTTTACAGAAATCCATATTCAAATGGCAAGCTCTTCTTCTCCTCCTCTTTCCTCTCCCTCTCTTTCCCCTTCTCCTTTTGCCTTCTTTGCCTCCTCTCCCTCTCTCCTCCAGCCTCCTCTCTCCTCCACAGACTGTAAATATTAACGGACAGAGTCACGCCTATCTCCGCCGTTCTAACTAATGGGCCAAAAAATGTGCTCTACTGGAGCTATCCAAAATGGCCGTGAGTGGTCCCGCCCACAAAGAAAATTGTGAAAAAACATCTGTGCATGTGTCAGCCGGAGAGAGCTCCATTCATTTAAACGAGAGACTTCTAAAGTCCACAGCGACTAAACTAGACTGGTCCAGAACACTCAGCATTGACACACATGTGGAACGGAGCTTTGGGCCAAGAGACAACTTTTGGTCCATCCTGTAAAGACGTTTTCCAGAGGTTAGAAGATGCTATATGTTAGCATTGGCTAATTCTTATTCCGGGTCCACCCCCACAGGCCCGGGGTGGTACTGCAGCATGTCAGCGCACGTCATTTTGGCCACTTTTGAGCCGGGACCCACCCACACTGATCCTCCTACCCTCCTCTCCCTCTTTCCCTCCTCTTCACTGACCCGGGGGCGCTGATGGGTGCCATGACGCTGAGAGTGGTGTTGAAGGTCTCCAGATCCACCTCGTCCTCCACCTCGGTCCCTCTGCAGGCGCCGGGCAGCGTTACTATGGAAACACCAATCAGGACGCCCGATACATCCGTGTGCAGCGTCAGGACGTCGCTGAGGTGAGACTCCACCATCGCACACTGAAGGAGGAGACCACAAACACCCGGAGAGAGAAATTCAATCAGACACAACCGGAGAGAAATGAAAAGTTAAGTTTATTCTGTCTTTTATGTAGAACCATTTTTGTCTTAGTAAAACAAAACATCTCAAACTATTGCAGACGAGTCACTCATTTGTGTGTGTTTTTTTGTTTTTTCTTTCTCTCTTTCTTTTGACAAATTAACTGTATTTACTCGTAAGTTTGTATTCAACAGAAACAACAAAAGGCTGTTTGGAGCGTTGTGATGTCACATGATGTCCTTACCGCTCGGACAAAGGCTGTGAGGTGTCCTTCCATCGCTCTCTCCGCTCGGTCGGACTGAAGAGAAACTCTGGGAACTCTGATCTTGTAGAGTCCATCCACTGCTGCCACCTCCTGGAGACGAAGAGAACTGTCTGTGACTCTGCTTTTTATTAATAACAACTAATAGCGAACTATCTAAATGACGTCACTAAGACACGCCCCCGCCGCCTGTCAACTCCCGCCCACATGTTTCGGACAAACACTGCCGAAATGAATCAAATACCACTTGACACTTTAGACAAAAATGAGATACCAGGAGCAAAATTCCACCATCAAACCATCAGGGATCATTGTGTAGATCAATTAAAACGTTGGCTTGAATGTCGTGGTCTTCCAGTAACTGGTAGAACGTTTTAAATGATAAAAAGGTGAGGATTATGCTAACATTATCTAGCCATTTAAATTCAATGCTAGCGCCTTCTTTGTTTGTTTTGCTGTGATTAACTTCCATTTATCAAGTTGTTTTTTGTACTGTCCACTTTGTAATTAGTTTGATCATATAGTTAGTCTGTCAGCTGATATTATAATAGATCCATGGGTCACAACGGGCTACACCACTACTGTCTCTGCAGAGAAACTATCGGAGCCGCACTCAATAAACACTATTGACAATCAACCCATTTAAATGTTAATGGGAGAATATATTATACATACAGTCGTAACACAAGTGCACGGAGGTTTTCAGAATTATCTGTTCAGGTTTTCATGACAAAAATACTTTTTTAATGTGACTAAAGCGATCGCTTTTTTGAAGTAGGTTAGCTAGCCTCAGTTACTCGCCTGCCTCGGGAAAACCTTTGAACTACTTTCTTTGCACTCATTAAATAAACCTTTCGGCATTAATAGTGACAGAAGTTCGTCTGTGCTTCGTCTGAACTTATTTTCCGATAGTCACAAAGTTGAAAAAATCTCTCTCATCTTTCTTCAGGTGTGAGAATTGTATATTTTCTGGATTAGGACAAACAATACTAATATGGATTGATGGGGGTAAATGGTGTAAAGAGAAAGTTTGTGCTAACTACATTCAGAAGAGCTCAGACGGACCTGATACAGACGGTCCAGGTCCAGTCCCAGCTAAACGTAGCTAGGACTGGATCTGGATGCTCCACAGTTGGTCCAGCGAAGTGTTTTGAAAAAACATGTGCCCTTTTTAACATTTTCATGAGAGAAATTCTGCCGACCACAAGCACCCACCTCTTGCACTTGTCCTGGTCTGGTCCTGGTCTGATCTGGTCCTGGTCTGGTCCTGGTCTGGTCCGATGGTGTGGTTTAACAAACGGGTTGAATGTTACTTTGATAGTCCTTTTTTCAGAGTATCTGAAATCGCTCCGACAAGCACCATAACTGCAGTGTTTTGTTGTCACCATGATTCAATGATTTAGCCCAAATAAATACACACGCTTATGTGGAGAACACAGTAGTACTCAATGGAGTCGGACAGAGTTTGTCCGAAACATGCGCGCATGCGCAGTCATCGGAGCTATTTTTAGCACATTTCGGAAACCGGACAGTGCCCTATGAAGAAGACCTTAATCAGTCACACAGGAGCACACACATATACAGCACAAGGAGCTGTGGGGATTGACAGGTACCAGGAAGTAAATATCAATCTGTATCTAAGACGAATGACCACAGAATAAAGCGGACTCGGAGCGGACTCGGAGCGGACTCGGAGCGGACTCGGAGCGGACTCGGAGCGGACTCGGAGCGGACTCGGAGCGGACTCGGAGCGGACTCGGAGCGGACTCGGAGCGGACTCGGAGCGGACTCGGAGCGGACTCGGAGCGGACTCGGAGCGGACTCGGAGCGGACTCGGAGCGGACTCGGAGCGGACTCGGAGCGGACTCGGAGCGGACTCGGAGCGGACTCGGAGCGGGCTCGGAGCGGGCTCGGAGCGGACTCGGAGCGGGCTCGGAGCGGACTCGGAGCGGACTCGGAGCATTAGACGACATCACAGATAAATGAGAGATTTCTCTAAAGCTTTTTCCAAGACCTCCTGATTCCAGGGCTTTACCTTGAGTCTGATCCGGTCTTCCTCTGAGAGCTGGTTCTGAGACAGAGAGACGCTCTGTTCTCGTCCAGGTTTTAAGATCAAAGCTCCTCGAACACGAAAGTTTGTGACATCATCTGAAAAACGAGAATAAACACAGAACGTTTTTGACAAATCTGCGTCAAATGGATTAAATGGACCTCCGTGCATTATCTATTAAACTAAACGTGTATTATTCGCTAGTAAACATATCGTGCTGTGATTGTTGATGATTTTAATGTCTTATATGTTTCTTGTTTTTGTTGCCTTCTTTATGAACTGAGCTAAACTTTCCCAAATGGACTAACAGACTACATGTTTATATGGAGCTATTATAGTTTCAATGATATTTGTGTGTGCGTAAACAGATGTGTGTGTGCGTAAACAGATGTGTGTGTGCGTAAACAGATGTGTGTGTGCGTAAAGACATTTGTATCTGTATCAGAACAATCTGTGTGTGACCACGTTGTACAAAGAGAAGAACGGACAAAAGCCGAGCTTTGCTCAGGCTCCGTTTTACACAAATCTGTTTTTGACACACTTCTGCCTCCAAGTGTGTGTCAAAAGAGATACATAAGTGTAATGTGGTTGTTCTAGACAAAAATCTTGAAATAATAATAATTGTACATGTGGTCTCCCTCTGTGTGGAAACTATAAAAGTATTATTTACTTTAGATTTGTGCTGTAACTAACCATTTAACAAATAACCTGTGGAAAAAACAGACATATTAAAGCCCTCTTTGTCACTCCTGTCTTTTATTTAATCCCACATTCCCAGAATCATCAATAAATGGCAATGTTCAGATCTTAATGTAATCCTAATTTAAGAAGTAATCCTATTCATGTTCCAATCAAACGCATTTTTAATTATATTTCTACATTCTATGAACGTTGTGGCTTTTATACAGTTTAATACAGTTTATCCCCCATGTATTTTTACCACATTGATGTCACATACAGTAGAACTAACATCTGTCATATACACAGTAACCCTGACCATAACATACAGTAGGACTAACATCTGTGCAGTAACCCTGACCATAACATACAGTAGGACTAACATCTGTGCAGTAACCCTGACCATAACATACAGTAGGACTAACATCTGTGCAGTAACCCTGACCATAACATACAGTAGGACTAACATCTGTGCAGTAACCCTGACCATAACATACAGTAGGACTAACATCTGTGCAGTAATACTGACCATAACATACAGTAGGACTAACATCTGTGCAGTAACCCTGACCATAACATACAGTAGGACTAACATCTGTGCAGTAACCCTGACCATAACATACAGTAGGACTAACATCTACACAGTAACCCTGACCATAACATACAGTAGGACTAACATCTACACAACCTGACACAGTAACCCTGACCATAACATACAGTAGGACTAACATCTGTGCAGTAACCCTGACCATAACATACAGTAGGACTAACATCGTCAGTAGATAACATACAGTAGGACTAACATCTGTCATGACCATAACTACAGTACACATCGTAACATATACACAGAACCTGACCATAACATACAGTAGGACTAACATCTGTAACATGACCATAACATACAGTAGACTAACATCTACACAGTAACCCTGACCATAACATACAGTAGGACTAACATCTGTGCAGTAACCCTGACCATAACATACAGTAGGACTAACATCTGTGCAGTAACCCTGACCATAACATACAGTAGGACTAACATCTGTGCAGTAACCCTGACCAAACATACAGTAGACTAACATCTGTGCAGTAACCTGACCATACATACAGTAGGACTAACATCTGTGCAGTAACCCTGACCATAACCAGTAGGACTAACATCTAGCAGTAACCCTGACCATAACATACAGTAGGACTAACATCTGTCATATACACAGTAACCCTGACCATAACATACAGTAGGACTAACATCTGTGCAGTAACCCTGACCATAACATACAGTAGGACTAACATCTACACAGTAACCCTGACCATAACATACAGTAGGACTAACATCTGTGCAGTAACCCTGACCATAACATACAGTAGGACTAACATCTGTGCAGTAACCCTGACCATAACATACAGTAGGACTAACATCTACACAGTAACCCTGACCATAACATACAGTAGGACTAACATATACACAGTAACCCTGACCATAACATACAGTAGGACTAACATCTACACAGTAACCCTGACCATAACATACAGTAGGACTAACATCTGTACAGTAACCCTGACCATAACATACAGTAGGACTAACATCTACACAGTAACCCTGACCATAACATACAGTAGGACTAACATCTGTGCAGTAACCCTGACCATAACATACAGTAGGACTAACATCTGTGCAGTAACCCTGACCATAACATACAGTAGGACTAACATCTGTGCAGTAACCCTGACCATAACATACAGTAGGACTAACATCTGTGCAGTAACCCTGACCATAACATACAGTAGGACTAACATCTGTGCAGTAACCCTGACCATAACATACAGTAGGACTAACATCTGTGCAGTAACCCTGACCATAACATACAGTAGGACTAACATCTGTGCAGTAACCCTGACCATAACATACAGTAGGACTAACATATCACAGTAACCCTGACCATAACATACAGTAGGACTAACATCTACACAGTAACCCTGACCATAACATACAGTAGGACTAACATCTGTGCAGTAACCCTGACCATAACATACAGTAGGACTAACATCTACACAGTAACCCTGACCATAACATACAGTAGGACTAACATCTGTGCACAGTAACCCTGACCATAACATACAGTAGGACTAACATCTACACAGTAACCCTGACCATAACATACAGTAGGACTAACATCTACACAGTAACCCTGACCATAACATACAGTAGGACTAACATCTGTGCAGTAACCCTGACCATAACATACAGTAGGACTAACATCTGTGCAGTAATACTGACCATAACATACAGTAGGACTAACATCTGTGCAGTAACCCTGACCATAACATACAGTAGGACTAACATCATACACAGTAACCCTGACCATAACATACAGTAGGACTAACATCTGTGCAGTAACCCTGACCATAACATACAGTAGGACTAACATCTGTGCAGTAACCCTGACCATAACATACAGTAGGACTAACATCTGTGCAGTAACCCTGACCATAACATACAGTAGGACTAACATCTACACAGTAACCCTGACCATAACATACAGTAGGACTAACATCTACACAGTAACCCTGACCATAACATACAGTAGGACTAACATCTACACAGTAACCCTGACCATAACATACAGTAGGACTAACATCTGTGCAGTAACCCTGACCATAACATACAGTAGGACTAACATCTCACAGTAACCCTGACCATAACATACAGTAGGACTAACATCTACACAGTAACCCTGACCATAACATACAGTAGGACTAACATCTGTGCAGTAACCCTGACCATAACATACAGTAGGACTAACATCTGTGCAGTAACCCTGACCATAACATACAGTAGGACTAACATCTGTGCAGTAACCTGACCATAACATACAGTAGGACTAACATCTGTGCATAACCCTGACCATAACATACAGTAGGACTAACCTGTGCAGTAACCCATAACATACAGTAGGACTAACATCTGTGCAGTAACACTGACCATAACATACAGTAGGACTAACATCTGTGCAGTAACCTGACCATAACATACAGTAGGACTAACATCTGTGCAGTAACCCTGACCATAACATACAGTAGGACTAACATCTGTGCAGTAACCCTGACCATAACATACAGTAGGACTAACATCTGTGCAGTAACCCTGACCATAACATACAGTAGGACTAACATCTGTGCAGTAACCCTGACCATAACATACAGTAGGACTAACATCTGTGCAGTAACACTGACCATAACATACAGTAGGACTAACATCTGTCATATACACAGTAACCCTGACCATAACATACAGTAGGACTAACATCTGTGCAGTAACACTGACCATAACATACAGTAGGACTAACATCTGTCATATACACAGTAACCCTGACCATAACATACAGTAGGACTAACATCTGTGCAGTAACCCTGACCATAACATACAGTAGGACTAACATCTGTGCAGTAACCCTGACCATAACATACAGTAGGACTAACATCTGTGCAGTAACCCTGACCATAACATACAGTAGGACTAACATCTGTCATATACACAGTAACCCTGACCATAACATACAGTAGGACTAACATCTACACAGTAACCCTGACCATAACATACAGTAGGACTAACATCTGTGCAGTAACCCTGACCATAACATACAGTAGGACTAACATCTGTGCAGTAACCCTGACCATAACATACAGTAGGACTAACATCTGTGCAGTAACACTGACCATAACATACAGTAGGACTAACATCTGTCATATACACAGTAACCCTGACCATAACATACAGTAGGACTAACATCTGTGCAGTAACACTGACCATAACATACAGTAGGACTAACATCTGTCATATACACAGTAACCCTGACCATAACATACAGTAGGACTAACATCTGTGCAGTAACACTGACCATAAACATCCTACTGTTGTGTTTTGCAGAGTGGTTCATTGCAGGTTTATTAAACATAAATCACATTCTCACCTGTTTCAAACGAATGCTCAAGTGGAACAGAATATCCACTTAATTCAGCGTCTAAAGTTTCTCCAATCTGCAAAAGAAACGCAGTGTTAGCTTGATGCATGGTTAGCTTCCCGAGCAGCGGCTAATGCTAATCATGCTAATCATGCTAGCACACCATCAACGCCATGTTTCCTGCACATTGTTTAAATAATAACAACTGTCATTTTAGTTGCACAATATAAAGGTGTAGGCTCACCCGTCTGCCGTTGTTGGAATTCACTAAACCTGCAAATAACAGTAAACAAAGAGAAGATAATGCTAAATGAAGGGATCGTAGAGGAGCCATCTTGACGTCAGCGACTCCCGGATACAGAGCCGCGGCTGAATTCAACACACTTTCTTCCTTATCCTCCCTTTTTTGATCTTACTGGGATAAAATCTATTTAAAGTAGCGTTAAATCTTTAAAATCACAGTCTTACAATACAATTGATCAAATCTGGAGATACTTTGTCCTATAAAAGGAAATATTTAAGGACAAAAAAAGGTATGAAGGGAGGAAGTATGAATTTGGATGCAGCCAAACTCAATAAAATCTAGTTATTTCGTCAAAATTTCAAATGTTTTGCTATTTCTTTGTTATTGTTATTTTATGTCTTTTGTGATTCAAATTTGGATCTTGATTTTTGTAATAGTTTTTGTATATTATCATAATTTAGTAGTATTTTATTCTTATTTAACAAACTCCAAAGCGAGTCAGGCAGTTCCGTAGATATACACATTTTAGCGAGAGAATTAAACGTATTAGTTGAAGAGCAGTCCTTTTATTCAACAACAATTAAAAACACAACTCCGCATGTGATTTTTGTAAATAAAATGCTGAAGGTGGGTGCAGTGACAAACACAGCCAGCAGAGAGCGCTAGTACACCATAATAAAGGCCGAGATCACCTTATGGACTACTCAATATTCATCATACAAGCTAAATTGTTTTCTGGAAAGTATCTGAACTAATTGGTATGCTTAGGAAGTCTCTGTGTAAGGCTGTAATTAATGAGTCTAACTATAAATATTTAAATTACACGTTTTTAAAGTAATTATTGTAATGTCCTAGTGTTGAGGTAAGATTAAATAACACATTTTTATAAACTTTTCAATTTAGTTTCCGGGCTTGTCCCACCGGGGGAAGACCCAGTACCGGTTTGAGGGTCTATGTCTCTCAGTCGGGCCTGGGAATGCCCCGGGATGAGCTGGAGGTAGTGTGTGTGGAGAGCGTCTCTGTTGCCTGCTGCTCCCGCGACCCGGCTACGGATAAAGCGTAAGATAATGAATGGATGGAATCGTGTCTTTAGCACTTTTTTACAAAGTCTGTGCAGTTTGGAGATTGCTGTGATCAGCTGTGCAGAGATAGAGGTTGATAGATGGCCCTCTCCCGGAGCTTGCCAAAGGTTTTAAAGTAATGAGCCTGTTTTAAAATGCATGTGGCGTAAAAGTAAAACTATTCCAGTTGGAAAGCGACGATTTAAAGTCAAATAAATTAAAATACACATGTTTTTATTCTACATCAGGACAGTATTTGGATCTTTGCCACACAACATTTGACACTTGTTTGTAAATGCAGATCCAGAATAATTAGTGTCCAAAATAACTGAACTGATTAATAAATTAGTTCTCATAATGTTCTCATAATGTTTTTAATAAATACGGGAGGTTCCTTTTTACTAAACTAACACAAATAAGAGTTTATTTGAATTGATAAAGAATCTCTAAATCTCTGAATCTCTCTTCTCAAAGGTTTAAAGAAGGATTTTCCCAAATGTCAGGAAAGAACCGCTCTCTTCACTTATGGAACAAAACTCTCTGCTCTGATTGGTCAAGCACATATCAACAGAATGATTGACAGCTGGGAGGACCAATAGTCTTGATGATCCACCAGGAAGTAGAACATCCTCCTATATATGTTTTGCCAAGTTTTATTTAAATTCAATATTTGTGTCTGAATAAATCCCAGCAGCAGTCGTCTCAAAGGACTTCACAGAGTTGCCGATTCTCTGACAACAGATCAGAGAATCAAAGGAACACAGGAAATGCTTCATGTCCTTATATGGTAATGTCCTCCTGCACCAGAAAGGAGCCACACGACCTTTTTAAACAAGTTTCTGAATATTCGGAACTTTGTTTTTGGCTGAACAAAGATCGTGTTGATCCTTAAACAAGATCTTGAGAAAATATAAACACCGTTACATTTAGACCACGTGTTGGAGGCTTTGTGAAAAGAAGGTTGAACAGGACAGAAGACTATTTAATGGCTACTGTTTGGGGATAAAACGATAAACAATTTCTAATGATAGATTGTACATTATGTAAAAAAAAAAAGTCCGTCTACTTCGTCCACAAAACATCTGAACAAATGTGTGCTTAAGTAGTGCGCCCTCCACTGGACAAACATGGAACAGAACAAGAGTCTGTGAACATTCTGCAGAAGCGGCTGTGGACATTTAGTCACTGACCCAAAAGTAACACATTGGTACAGTTTAAAGTGATTCACCTCCGACTTTTCATTTATACTGATTATATGTCACTATGTCCCAATAGAGTCATAGAAAAGTATGATTTTGTAAACATACCAGACCAGAACATTCTGCATCTGCATCATTCTTATAAAGAAAACTCTATGGCAAGGCAAGGCAAGTTTATTTATATAGCACAATTCATACACAAGGCAATTCAAAGTGCTGAACAAAACAAGAAAGCATTAAAATCATAAATAATCACAGAACATTAAAAAAGAAAGATAAAAATATAAAATCCCTCAGTTGTAGCACAGTTAAACAGAACTGTCTTTAACCTGGTTTTAAACATTGTCAGAGAGGAGGCCTGTCTCACATCTTCAGGAAGACTGTTCCAGATTTAAGCAGCATGAATCTGAAAAGCAGCCTCCCCATGTTTAGTCCTGACTCTGGGCACTAACAGGAGTCCAGTCCCTGTGCTCCTCAGAGTCCCAGCAGGAGGCCAGTCCCTGTGCTCCTCAGAGTCCCAACAGGAGTCCAGTCCCTGTGCTCCTCAGAGTCCCAGCAGGAGTCCAGTCCCTGTGCTCCTCAGAGTCCCAGCAGGAGGCCAGTCCCTGTGCTCCTCAGAGTCCCAGCAGGAGGCCAGTCCCTGTGCTCCTCAGAGTCCCAGCAGGAGGCCAGTCCCTGTGCTCCTCAGAGTCCCAGCAGGAGTCCAGTCCCTGTGCTCCTCAGAGTCCCAGCAGGAGTCCAGTCCCTGTGCTCCTCAGAGTCCCAGCAGGAGTCCAGTCCCTGTGCTCCTCAGAGTCCCAGTAGGAGTCCAGTCCCTGTGCTCCTCAGAGTCCCAGCAGGAGGCCAGTCCCTGTGCTCCTCAGAGTCCCAGCAGGAGTCCAGTCCCTGTGCTCCTCAGAGTCCCAGCAGGAGGCCAGTCCCTGTGCTCCTCAGAGTCCCAGTAGGAGGCCAGTCCCTGTGCTCCTCAGAGTCCCAGCAGGAGGCCAGTCCCTGTGCTCCTCAGAGTCCCTGTGTGCTCCTCAGAGTCCGGGCTGGTTCATATGGGACTAACATGTCACTAATATATTTTGGTGCGAGGCCATGGAGAGACTTGTAACAAGCAGAGCTGTTTTAAAGTCTATTCTCTGAGCCACAGGAAGCCAGTGCAGAGACCTGAGGACCGGACTAATGTGGTCGTACTTCCTGGTTCTAGTCAGGACTAATGTGGTCGTACTTCCTGGTTCTAGTCAGGACTAATGTGGTCGTACTTCCTGGTTCTAGTCAGGACTAATGTGGTCGTACTTCCTGGTTCTAGTCAGGACTAATGTGGTCGTACTTCCTGGTTCTAGTCAGGACTAATGTGGTCGTACTTCCTGGTTCTAGTCAGGACTAATGTGGTCGTACTTCCTGGTTCTAGTCAGGACTCGAGCTGCTGCATTTTGAATGTACTGCAGCTGTTTTACAGCCTGTTTGGACAGACCTGTGAGCAGGCCATTGCAGTAGTCCAACCTACTGGAGACAAATGCATGGATAAGAATCTCCAAGTCTGCTTTAGACACTATGTTTTTGATCCTGGCAATGTTTTTTAGATGGTAAAAAGCTGCTGATGTTACTGATTTGATGTGGCTATTAAAATGCAAGTCTGAGTCCAGTATTACCCCTAGATTTCTGACCTTGTTTGAAGGTTTTAGGGAGAGAGACTGTAGGTGACAGATGACGCTCTCTTTGTTTCTGGGGACCAAAGACAATCATTTCAGTTTTGTCTGCGTTTAGCTGAAGGAAGTTGTTTTGCATCCACTCACTGATCTGTTGGATACAGTGAAGGAGTGAGTCCACTGGTCCATGTTCTCCTGCAGTCAGTGAGACATAGATCTGAGTGTCATCTGCATAGTTATGATAGGAAACTTTGTTTCTGCGTATTAACTGACCTAACGGCAGCATGTAGAGATTGAACAGAAGAGGTCCCAGGATCGACCCCTGTGGTACTCCACAGGTTAGGGCCATATGATCTGAGACACAGTTTCCAATCTCCACAAAGTACTTCCTGTCTTCAAGGTAAGACCTAAACCAACTTAGGGCGGTGCCAGCGACGCCAACCCAGTCCTCTAGTCTCTGTAAGAGGATCTCATGGTCGACAGTGTCAAAGGTCCTCTCTTTTTCATTTTTCTGTGTGAAAAATCTGATCTCGTGAGACAGAGGCCAAAGAAGATCTGAAAACTATACACAGAGCAAGTACCTGGATTTTATTACATAAGCCCCATTTCCACCAGCCCTATTTGACTCTACTCTACTCCACTCTACTGAACTCTACCCTACTCTACTCTACTCTACTCTACTCTACTCTACTCTACTCTACTCTACTCCACTCTACTGAACTCTACCCTACTCTACTCTACTCTACTCTACTCTACTCTACTCTACTCTACTCTACTCTACTCTACTCTACTCTACTCTA